TTTATTAAGTTTTATTATTTGTATTATTCTTACTGTTTGTGTACTCACAGTTTGTAAATAGAAAATGGTTAAATAGTATGCTTCTTGACAGCAGCATATGTCTAGTTAATGTTAGGCAAACATGATAAGTCTAGTTAATTTAGGCTATATAATCTTGCCTTACTTTGAATGGCATACAGTTTAATACTATGGAAATAAATCTATGGGAAAATAGTAACTGTTTAAAAAAAATAATTAACCATGGCAGAATAACAATTCACATTTAACTAGAAATAACAGTGGCAAAGAGGGACAGCTAAAACGATTATTTAGCAAATAACTATGGCAACGAGGCACAACTACAACATTTATTCAGCAAATAACCATGGCATAAAGGCACTACTACTTCGTGTATTTATAGCAAATAACAGGGCAAAAAGATATAACGGCACAGTTTACTCGAATCAACTGTGTTCACTAAGCAAACAACAACTTATTTTTCCATCTGAATCTAAATATATAATACATTTTCTAAATATTTTATTAGAATATAAAAAAAAAACAATAATATTTGTTACCATTTTATTATTACTTGAATTTGGATCACAGAGAAGAATTGCTAATAAAAAAAATAATAATAGGCCTAATTTATATTGTAATTACATGACTTAAAATATATATTTATTATTTTACTTTGCAAATAAAATTAAAAACCAATTTATATAAAATAATTGTAATGCTTGTTTAACGTTTACATAGAAAGCCACACGCGCATTCTAACTAAACAACCTTTCTATTTCACATACGCATACGCATGCATCCTTCACGCAATGACGTAACGCCTACTCGCTCTTCTGCGGGGCCCCCGACCCCTAGGGGTTCCTAAGGTCCCCTACCAACTTGGTCCTCGATCTAGTACCAGGCTTTGTTGATACATAACAGCATACTATTGTTAATTTTATTTCTCGTTTGTATACTTGGTTAGCCTATACATGGGTTTTTAATCGTTTGTAATTTTAGTATTTATTATTATTTATTTTATTATTTTCTTTGGTATTATTGTACATTTATTTTATAGTCTATACATGGCTAACATAATTATGAAATTATATATTGAATTATTTTTGAATCATCTGACTTAAAATTGCGTTGAAAGGAACTATACTGTGTACTTATATCCTTTTGCCAAAGTTTGTCAACATGTCCTGAATCAGAAAACCCATGGCAAAAGGACATAACTGACATTTTGAGCGCAAAAATCAATATTTATAGAAAAAATGTGTGCTACACTGGAAGAGATATTATTTGTCTATTTGAATACATTAACCATGAAATCAAATGCTAAAACACATTTTAGGGCTAAATAAATTACACGTTTTGCTTAATATCTCCAAAACAGCAAATTGTCAGTTATGCCCTTTTGCCATGGGAGGGCAGTCCCGAAGATTACCAGTAAAGGATCTGATAACATACATTTCATACAGTCAGCGAACAATTTAAATTTTACAAAATGAGCAAGAAAACATATATACATATATATTGTATAAATCATCAAATTTACATATACAGTATATGTACCTTTGATGATTTATACTATATTTATTCAGCAGTGTTAACGGCTAACTTTCTTCAATATATATATATATATATATATATATATATATATATATATGTATGTGTATATACCACATAGGTATTTGCCAGTTGCCATGATGAGACAAACATACCACAACATTTGCCATGAGTCTGTCTCTTATACACATCTAGATGTGTATAAGAGACAGATATATATGCGAACTGATAACTGACAATTTATACAAACAATTAAATAATTATTATTCTTATTTTCATTAATAATAATATTAATAAATAAGTAATATATAATAATAGTATATAATTATAATAAAATAATAATAAATATGTAATAATAATAAATGCATTAATAACAAAAGCCTAATATTATGATAATAGTAGTATTATATTCGTGATTTAGTTGCAAGCTATTCACACTTTTGTATTAAACCCGGATTTAAAAAAATATATACATGAAGCTATAAAAAATGGAGTAAAATGCATTATCGTATATTTTTCATTATATAGATTATTGGCCTTCTTTTTTTGTTTTTTGTTTTCTTTTTTTTTCCACTTTATTTTTTTCCACTTAATTAAAATTATATTGGTTTTCTGTGTTTTTTTTTCTTTTTTACTTTATACGTTTTAACGACTTTTCTTTTTGTTGAAATTTCAACTTCATTTCTCATTAAAGCATTGGAAGAAGCCCTATGTTCTGTTGTTCAAACAGACATAGTACGGTAAGTCTAGTTGTAATTGTAATTTTGAAAAACAACAAGTAGGCCTATCAGATAATTTTTATAACTAAAATGGTTTATAAAAATGATTATATTATCTTAATACAAAAAAACAAAAAATAACACTGTACTGTTAAACAGTCACATGTGTTTTAAAAAAGAATTGCTGTAAATAAAGCATAGAGCGATTGATAATTTTTATAATTGATAATATGATTGCTATTTTAATTTTAAAACAAAAAATGAATCGGTTTATTTAATAATACATAATAAGTATTTTAAAACAATCATTAGCACCATGTGAGTATACATAATGCTTTACAATGTGTATCATTTTCAACTCTAAACTAAACTAAACTAAAAACTGCAAATAAAAAATCATTACTGTATACAAAATACAAGGCCGAAGGATTATTAACCAAACTATAAAATATTATACAAATTTTGATTATTATTAGCACTATACACTTAATGATAGCATTATAAACTTAATACCTTACTAAAAACTTTAAGAAAAAAATGAATTATGAATATAAAGAAGGCCGGCCGATTTATAAACCATTACAAATTGCAATTATAAATTCCACCATCATAATATCATGGTTATAAAAATAAACGAAAAAAGTCATTATTCTAAATTAAAAAAAAAAACAAGTCCGTCAAATAATAGATCATAACACATTCAACACACTTAATTATGATTATAAATTACGATTACAATTATAATTATAAACTCTATTATTATATTACTATAATACTACTAAAAGTTAAGAAAAAATAAATATCATTATTCTAAATATTATAAAGGATGCCGAGCGGTTATAAACTAATAACTGTATGATTCTTTATTCTACGAAACTTGAATATTATATAAAGCTACCAGTAATATAACGCAAAAAAATCATTTAAAACATACCTGAGTGTACATTATTTAAACTCATAAATTCAATAACATATATCAAAAGATGCATATCATTTTGCATTTTTGGTATAGGCCCTAGGCCTATTATTAGATTATATTAATATTTTTGTTATATTTTTCGGGTTTAGGATCATAAATATACTGAAAATACAGTAAAGCACCTGGTTGGTTTTTAGGGTGGGTTATATTGAGAATATGGGTTACTATTAGGGTACAGGAACGCTATTTATTGTCCATAAAGTAGGACTTCAAACTCATGCATAAGATTGTTGATTGTTTTTGTTATACCGTATAATAAAAATAATAATAATAATAATAATACAATTTATAATTATAATTATAATAGTAATAATAATGTCAATGATAATGATAATAATACCAATAAATTAATTAGTATTATTAGGTAATATTTTTATTGGTTGTTAATAAAATTGTTTGTATGATTTTGACTTCTGTTTTTTCTATAGCTAAAATGTATTGCCTCAATAATTGAATGGTTGATTGGCTAATTGATATATTTGATTAGTTGATTGATTATTTAGTTGATTGATTGATAGGGTGGCTAATTAATTGTTTAAACATCTTTGAATTGAATAATGATTAAGATGATCAAATTAATGTTACGATTAGCCTATGCCTGCTGCCACAAAACTTATTTATAATTCTAATAAAATATACCTAAAATTTACTCTATATAATTTTTAAGCAATACAATACGTATACCGTTTTGATATTGACGGTCAAATGTGATTTAACACTGCAACAGTCTAATTCTATGTGTTACTGAAACCATGCACGATCATATAGCTCAATCGTATAGATATCTCGATGATCGTATTTGGAAATCAATGCTGAAATGTGACTGATCATTTTAATGTTTTCTTTATGTCTTTCTGTTTTTCTTCTGTTCTCTCTTTTCTGCTTGCTTTTTCTCCCTGTATTCAGCTTTCTCCCTTTGTTTCTTTTTTCCTGAGCACTCCCTCAAATTGGCGCATTGCGCCTTGTAAGTCAAAGATTGGATTGGATTGGATAACATACGTCAATATTTGGAGTTTCAATCCATTGCCTTAGAATAATTTTGCTGGGTATACTTCCTATAGACGAAAAAAAAATACGTTAAAACATATACCGGTAGAAATTTATGACATAGAAAGTGGGTGTAACTCCTCCGATTCATAACAGAAAACAAACTTATGACATAATTCAAATTTAGTGAGGAAAAATAGGCAGAGTACTAAATTCGGCATGGGAATAAAATCTGCAAAAACTTAAGCCACAACTCGAAAGCTGAACAAATCTCCAGTATATAAGCAAAGGAGACGACAAAAAGCTTTATTACAGTAAAACAATTCCTTAAATTTAATATCTGAATCGTATGTTTCATTGCTGAAAGTTTAGTGGGCGTTTCTTTCTTTTTTTTTTTTTTAATATTTATGTATTGATAAGCTTAATTTATAGTCTTTATGGATAAAATATTTAACATAAATAATAATTATCATAAGATAATTTTCAAAAATCATTACTTCTTTTAACATGGTTATCCCAGCCATATTTTTTTCATTTCGTCAATTCAACAGGATTGAATGCATTCGACACGTTGTTCAGGAACAATTTGCAATCGTTGAAAGTCGGCTTGGAAGATTGCTTTTACAACCAGACCAGTGATAATGGTGGATGACTGTGAATGCCCTTATCAAAATAATTCTGGTATTGAAATCTGAAAAATCTCCAAAAACTGCTTTGCCAGTTAAAATATTCCATTACATTAACCTCAATAGTGCTGTAAAATAAGGGGTTAGTGCATATGTGTGTATAACTAACTGACATCAACCATTCTTCATCATCTTTACCAACAGGGTTCGCGATTGACTGATACAAGACTTAAACTATCATGGGCGAATAAGTTTAGTCTAAACATATTCCTCCATGCCTAAACAATCTACCATGGAGCTATAGTATGAATTATAGGTCCATGTTAATTTGATACTAAGTACGTTACCATCAGTTTTCACACTACACGTCGTATGATGACTAGAATGCACAATGCCATGAGTGGTGTGCCATCTGAAGGATGTAGGACTGTCTGAAAGTTAAACGTGGACAAATCTTATATTGTTGTTTTTGTTATTTTGGTTTTAAGTACAATTGCACATTAAAGAAAAAGAAATACCTCAAAAGTTTAATTAAAATGTGAATAGGTCATTTACAAGAAACAAAGATGTTATTAATTTAAAGTCAGAAACAGATGGAAAGAAATAGTGGCATTTTTTCCTAAATGTATTTATAGAAGCATTTATTTATCATAGACCTCAAGCCTAATCGATTCATTATCAATACATAGTTTATAAAACAAACATTTAACAAACTAAGTGGCCACTAGTATAACTTTGATGACTACAGATATTTCAATCAGATAAAAAATATATAAACGACACTTAAAAAAAATATATTTATTACTAATTAAAAAATAAATCTATTGAATATTATTTTTCTTAATGTTTATATAATTCCTTTAAAAAGAAATATAAATGGTAAAGTATTGTTAGATTCTTTTTAGAAAACTAAAATATTTTAGTTAAAAAAATGCATTGTTTATGTTGATTTATTGATTCAATGTAAGTATTTTTGCAACATTTATGTAGTTGAAATATTTTTACCGAATTTTACCACTGAGCCATTTTGACCTATCTCTCATTTGTGCCAATTTTTACTTGAGCCTTTTTGGGGGGCCAATTTATGGGGCCTTTTTACCGTACACCACTTAAGATAATTAGAATTACCTTCAGAAATTATCATGCATTCATATTCAATGTTCAAGTACTTGTAGGTACCCACACAAGGGTCACCATAATTGCCATTTGAAGCCGTTATAGTACATCTGTTTTTACCATCACACTTCCCAGAGATGTCCTGAAACACGTCGATCGAGCAATTTGTGTTACCTGTTGATGAGTAATCGCAGTAAACCACACCAAGGTGCATTCGGCCATAGATTGCAGTACGTACGCGTATCGTGTACATAGAGTCACACGTCAAATTATCTGTATCGTGCTCACAAATTATTTTGATAATGGCGGTTGAATCTGAAATCAAGTGATGGTGGATGTAAGTGTCAGAACATAATTGTTGATACCGCTTTAAATACATGCGCTACCTTTGTCTCATAAATTCATTAGCCAAATTTTAGGCAAAATTAAAGAGCTTTTCAAAATGGATCTGTTTGTCAACACAGAGCACTGTTCATCTAATTAGTGACCTATTGTACATGGTCTATATGGTCTTTGTACTTTTTGCTATAACCACAAACAAATCACAACAAATTTAAGAAAATCGAACATATGTGTTTACTTGTTTCTAATAAACAAAATTATTGTGATTTAAAGTTTAATGTTTTTACCTAAGCATCTTGTACCATTGTAGCCAGTGTGACATGTTGCGTCCTCATCACAGCCTCTGGAATGGTCGCACTGAGCAGCGTCACAATGACAAATTTGCCGACAGTCAGCGCCATACTTGCCTGCTTCACATTCTATAATATATAAAAACAACAACATATTGGTCAAACCAACACAATCTTGCCTCTATTTAGGTGACAGTCTTTTTAAAAATCATTTTAAAGCAACTACAATGGACTAAGAAAAACAACATTTTATTTCACATCTTTTAAACCAAACATTTAACATCAAATCATTGTTTTCTTGATACTTATTATGGATATTGGTGATACTTGCTGATGTGCATTCTTTTCAATTTTCAACCTCATTCATAGGATTTTTTTTATCTTTTTTTTTTCTGTGTACTTTCATAGAAGATTGATATTCATACGTATGAATATCAATCTTAAACTTATTTAAGATCTTAAATCTTATTTAGAAACTTATTTAAGATCTTAAATCTTATTAATCCGTAAACTGCACCCTGATTTTTTAGTCATTACTCTATTCATGTCATAGCACTTAAATCATTAAAAAAATTTACAGCTGTATTTGCATTGCAAATTATTGATTACATTAAGCTTAATTTTATTAAATAAATATGTAATCTCATTTATGCCATTGTCGTATGCGTGCCAAAATCCCTAATTAGGAATACAGTTTTACGTTTTTAGTTAGTGTTCTCTAAATATAGGTAGGGCCTATTCTTATTTGGGGACACCACTTTTAAATGAACAGGTTTTTTGGTTTAGATGGTGTCCCCTTTCCCTACTTTAATAATGATGATATAGTAGTTGTAAAAATTATAATAATAAAAATAATAATAATAATAATAATAATAATAACAATAATAAAAATAATAATTATTAGTGATATTATTATTGATATTATTATTGATATTATTACTATTATTATTATTATTATTATTATTATTATTATTATTATTATATTGATATTGTTATTTATATTATTAATGATTTCACCTATGTTTATTTATTAATTTACATGTTTATTACCTCCGCCAACCTTGGCGGAGGTAATGTTTGTTTGTTTATTTACTTATTTATCGATATGTTTATCTATTTATTTTTTTTATCTGACTGTGTGCGTGTGTGGGTGTAGGTAGGTGTGTATGTATGGGGGATGAAGGTAGGTATGTGTGTGTGTGTCTGTGAACAGTCCACACGTTTTTATTGAAAACTCGTCAACTAGTCCATAGAGAAAATATGTCACAATGTTTCTTGACCAAAGATTTGGAGGTGATTAAATTTTTAAGGGTCAGGGTCAAATTTCAAGGTCACAATCGACGAAAAACTACTTTTTTTATATAACAGCCTACAGCCAACAAGTTATATCAGAATTGCATCAAACTTAGTCACAATGATCCATGACCAAAGAACTAGATATGACTATCGAAGGGAAAAGGGTAAAAAAATCAAGATCACAAACAAGAAAAAACTACTTTTTTGTATTTAACAGCATACAGCCAACAATTTTTACCAGAAAGATTGTGGCCATAATGTTCTATGACCACAATCTAAAAGTGATAAAATTTTGAATGGCCAGGGTCAAAAGTCAAGGACACATTCTCTGAAAAAGTTATATATAATATATAAAGCAGCCTACAGTGCACAATCTTTGTAGACAGTCAGTGCCAAACTTGCCAGGTTCACATTATTAATGTAACAAAACATAACGATATTAATAATTATCATAAATATTTTTTTTTAAATATATTGCTATATAAACAATGGGCATTTGTTTATAACTTATATATATTTTTATTAAACTTTTATATGGCCTGTAATTATTATAAGGCCTGTTATGAGGATTATTAACAGGCCTATTAGTATTAGTGTTAGGCATTTTATTAGTATAGGCTTATTATGTCTATTATTAGCGCATTTTCATTGCTATAATAATTTACATTATTAATTTATTAGCATGAATTATTATTATTATTATTATTATTATTATTATTATTATTATTATTATTATCATCATTAATAATAATAATAATAATAATAATAATAATAATAATAATTATTATTATTATTATTATTATTATTATTATTATTATTATTCCAATAAATATTTTTTAACTTGTGGAAAGCTTATACTAAGTATTATCGCATTGACAACTTCCATTATAATAGATTTACCCGTTTTACAGTCGAGTCCTTTCCAGCCAGCGTGACAGGCACAACCTTGTGGCATAGGTGGACAAATCAGATTCCCTTTGCATTCGTCCGTAGATTTACTTTTACACGGAATATTACCATCACGTCCAAATTTATTACCACCAGCAGCTGAAAAACAAATAGACATTCACGGTACAGATTAGATTAACAACTTACAGTCACTTGCTTCTCCATTCCTCTAAGGATTATGAGGGCGCTGTGCTGCGGCGACCACCACTGGCATTTTAGCACCGTAATTTTCAAATAATTTTCTGATTTTTTAAGTATATGTGTGTATTGTTTTAAATACTAGATGTAACTTTATCAAGATGTTATCAAGATTTTGTATCAAGCTTTTGATAAAGCTGCTGATTTTATCTGGGATCGCCAATCTTATTACGGCTGTGGACCCGACGAAATCTAGCCTAACAACCTTAATGTATTCCGCATCGTTCCTGCGTGGACTAGACCCAAGCATACAACAATCTGACGCTACCTCGACCGACGCTACGATCGTACTTCCAGATCTTACAGATTATCTATCAAATGGAGGATGTGATAAACGTATTACAACAAGAAAAAAAGGCCGTAGAGGTGGCGTAAGGTATAGAACTAGGAGACGAGCTATGAAACCGCCTCTTCCTACAATTGTTTTTGCAAATGTTCAGTCCATTCAAAATAAGGTAGATCAGCTTCAGGCAAACACAAAATTTCTGTATCAATACAGAGACAGTAGTTGCTGTGCTTTTCAGAAACATGGCTTCATGATGGCATAGAAGACAGACCAGTGGATTTGGAAGGCTTCCAACTAGTTAGAGCAGACAGGAACAAAAATTCTAAAAAATCTAAAGGTGGAGGAGTTTGCTGCTACATTAACTCAAAATGGTGTAACAACTGGACTGTCAAAAGCAGAGAATGCAACATTGATTGTGAAATGTTAATTGTAGGCTTACGACCATTCTACCTTCCAAGAGAACTACCCCAGATCTTTACGATAATTGTATACATTCCACCCAAAGCAAATGTCATAAGAGCAAGATAATTTATAGCATCAAAAGTTAATGAAATAGAAAATAGCTCACCATATGCAGCAGTGATTATTCTTGGAGACTTCAACAAATGCAGATTAGACCTAGTACTCCCTACATATCAACAACATGTTAAACATACAACAAGAAACTACTCAATACTAGATCTTTGTTAAACAAATATTACTAATGCCTACGTTGCGAAACCTTTACAGCCCCTTGGAAATTCTGACCACGATAGCGTGCAATTACTCCCTTCTTATAGGCCACTAATAAGTAGAGGAAAAGTGATAGAAAGAAAATGCAAAATTTGAAGCAAAGAAGCTATAGAAGAATTAAAGTCAACCTTTAAAAGCACCAACTGGCAAGAATTTTTCGAATCATCCACATCAATTGATGAATCAATTACAGTAATAACTGATTACATTAAATTTTGTGTGGACACTATCATCCCGACTAAGATTTACAGGCAATTTCCGAACAACAAACCCTGGTTCAACAAGGAAATTAAAGAACTTTTGTTTCAGAAAAGGGAATCATTTAAAGCTCTGGACAGGGATCGCTGTAAAAGAATTCAAAAGATGATTGCACAACAGATTGAAAAAGCTAAGTCTAAACAAAAGGAGAAGATGGAGAAAAATTTAAAAGAGAACAATTCAAGAGCAGCATGGAAAACAGTACTTAACCTCACTAACTATAAACCCAAAGAAAAAACAATTAGATGACTTTAATTATGATTTTGTAAATAATTTAAATGAATTTTTCTGTAGATTCCACCAAGATTTTAAAGCTGAGAACAAATTAATTAAGGAACAACTTAAAGAAATCAACAATGACTTTGACTATGATGAGCTGATAAGTGAACAGGATGTACCGGTAGCTAAAGTATTTAGTAAACTTAAAATAAACAAGGCCACTGGCCGAGATGGTATACAAAATAGTGTACTTAAGACTTGTAATAAACGACTAGCACCAATTTTCAGTTCAGTTGTTCAGTCCATGCTGGACCCAGGCTCAATTCCTAATTTGTGGAAAACGTCGGATGTTAAACCTTTACCTAAAATTAAGAATCCTAAAACCTTGAATGACTTCCGACAAGTATGTTTAACTTCAAACATAATGAAATGTTTTGAAAAACTATTGTTAGAGATTATGAAAAAACAAGTTAAATTCGATGATAGCACTCAATTTGCATACTGTAATAACAGAGGAACTGATGATGCCTTACTTGTATTTCTAAATGACGTTTATAAACATTTGGAAAAGCCAAGAGCTTTTGTAAGGTCAGTATTTATAGATTTTTCAAGTGCCTTCAACACTATTGTTCCACACATATTACTAAAGAGGCTGATTGAGCTCGATTTCTCTCCTAGAATTTTGTCATGTATTTTTAATTTCATGCTAGACAGACCACAGCGAGTTAAATGTAATAATATAATGTCAACAGCTAGTAGCTTAAGTATTGGTGTTCCGCAACGATGTGTTTTATCCCCGTACCTGTTTCTTTTATACTCAAGCAGTTTTGAGATCGTTGATTCTAACTGCAAAATTATAAAATACGCAGATGATACTGAAATTAGTGGACTTCTTGATAATGATGAAACTAGTTGTTTTGATGAATTTAAAAGATTTTCTAAATGGTGCCAGCTCAATCATCTTAAATTGAACACTAAAAAAAACCCTAAGAAATGATCTTTGATTTCCGCAAAACAAACAATGTTCATGATATATTGTACATAGATAATCAGGAAGTTGAACAGGTTGAAAGCTATAAATACCTAGGCACTGTTGTTGATAATAAGCTCAAATGGGATAAACAAACTAAGATTACTATGACAAAAGGCAAGCAAAGATTGTATTTTCTAAGAAAACTTAAGAAGTTTAATGTAGACAACACCATTCTTATCTTGTTTTACAATGCAATAATACAGAGTTTTTTAACTTACTGCTTAATCTGTACATATAAAAACCTGACTAAACAAAATATTAAGATATTAGACTCCATGAGGAAGACTGTTAAGAAAATTGTTAAAGACAACATTATACATTTAGATTATGTTTATGAAAAATACACACTAGCTAAACTTAAGAAAATAATAAACGACACAACTCATCCACTACATAATGAATTTACTTTTAACAACTCAGGTTTCCGTCTAAATGTACCACCCACCACACGTGGCCGTTATAGAAACGCCTTTGTTCCCAACTCCATTCACCTTTATAATAACAATATTAATAGATAATTTGTAGTTTTAATTAGTAGTACAGAAGTAAGTTTAATGTGTTTAAGTTTTAGTTTAAATTTAACGTGTAATTGTATTTAATTTTCTTTGCATATTCATCTTGACTAGATATTATTTGGTGCTAATTAGTTTCTATATTTTTGTAATTGTTTCTTTATTTATTATATCATATTTACACTTGTTACCTTGCCAGTGATTGCAATTTCTGAGTTTTATTTCAGACAATAAAAGAATATTGAATCTTGAATCTTGAATAATAATTTATGAAGTTTTTTTGTCATTCCAAATTTCAATTGAACAGGGGTGGCGCCAGGATTTGCCCGACAGGGGTGGGGCGAGGTCCCCGACGAGGAGGCCGATGCCCCGACGAGGGGTTAGATTCCGTCAACGAAAGCAAAATGAGAGTGGTCTAGCTTCGATTAAAAGGTACAGAAATGGTCCTGGGCAAGCCCCCGAAAATTTCAGTAGGTGTGGCGAAATCCCGTATTCTGGACAACAGCGCCCCCATACAGCCCGTATTCTGGACAGATTTCAGAGCCCGTATTCTAGACAGATTTCAGAGCCCGTATTCTGGACAGAGAAAGCCCGTATTCCAGAGCCGTAGATAGAGAGAGTTTGGCGCATGGGCGCCATGTTGTCACCAAACAGCGTGCGCGCGTATAGCTTTATAACATTTTATAAAACACTGATGCTGCATAAACTTTCTTTCATTATTCTGTTCATGAGGACAATTCAATTATGGGATTTTAACATATCATTTTAAATATCATAAACTGTACAATCATATTTACCTAACTTTGGAAGATAAAGTGAGGACGATTCTTTATTTATTTTTTTTTTTTCGTTTTTATTGGAGGATTCAATTTTTATTTTTAATTATAATTTAAGTTACCTTTGACTGATACTTCATGTAGCTTTCTGGAAATTTAGTTATATAATTTAACAGCAAAGTGCAACATTGCATCTTTTTATAAATCATTACTGCTTGAAAATTTTTCCTTTTTTTCTTTTTTTTTTCTTTTTTATTATCATCGTAATTAAGCTGATTTAAGTACTACCTTAAGGTGTTCGGCCGAAATTTAGGTCTGTCTAGGCCTAGTAATAGTAGGTGGATATATTATTACCGCGAAGTGGGGCGGGCGGTACATGCCTTATAATTTACTACGTGGATAGCGAGATTTTTCGATCGCCATGCAAAGTTAAAATAAAATCCCAAATCTTCCTCCTTTTTGGAATTTAAGGAAATTAATACATTTTTGTTTCTTTGTTGTATCGATTGCAGCAACCCCAAACCCAACATAACGGTATTTCACATTATATAAAGCATTAATCATCTATAATAACAGCTAACTTCCTACCCTATCGCGTTGTTTTGTTTTGGTGACAACATGGCCGGTGTAAGTCACGTGATTGAAACCGGGTTGGCCAAACTCTCTCTATCTTCTCTGCCGTATTCTGGACAACAGCGCCCCCATATAGCCCGTATTCTGGACAGATTTCAGAGCCCGTATTCTGGACAAATTTCACAGCCCGTATTCTGGACAACAGCGCCCCCATACAGCCCGTATTCAACAGCGCCCCCATATAGCCCGTATTCTGGACAGATTTCAGAGCCCGTATTCTGGACAAATTTCACAGCCCGTATTCTGGACAACAGCGCCCCCATACAGCCCGTATTCTGGACAGAAAAAGCCCGTATTCTGGACAGATTTCACCAACCCTTCTCGAAAAGTTTGACAATTTTTAATCGATTTTTACATTGTGCGTACATCAACCCGCTAATCAATTCAATATTATTAATACTCGATTATAAGACAAGTATTTACATTTGTTCCGGCTTCTATAATACATGTCGTTTGTATACATTTTCTAAAGGTTTTTTAATTTTTAAAGTTATTTAATTCCAAATTAATTTAAGTAGAAACCGCTACAAGAATAGATAATAAACATTGACTTATGTTGTATATTTGTATATTAGGCCTACTCACATTTTTCGCATCTACTTCCATGAAATCCCGAAAGACATATGCAGGTCCCGATGTATGTATCGCACACCCCTCCATTGTAGCAAACGTCACACTCCATAGTACAATTCGGCGGAGACCATTTGTTATGTGGACATTCTGAAACACAAGCCAACCCTGCTAAATACAATTTTAAATCTAAAATGAAATGTAATTAAATGAAATTAGTGACGTAGCTAGATGAGAACGGTCGCCAATGCAAAATTATTTACCTGGCCATTTCATGTTAAGCGTCATAGGCATAGGAGCTACTAATTTCAGCTGTGTTCAGGGCATTTGTGGGGTAGCAGAAGCTCCGACATTTTCAACGAGCCGTATTTTAAATTTAAAGAATGAAAATGACAATTAAGATACCGATTCGCGTTTTCAGAAAATTCATCTAAATTAGTGATTTTCACTGACTGCATTGCCAATTACTACGCCACTGAATGAAATTAACACCTCACAATATTAAGGTTATTATCTGTAAATAATCATATCATAAAAATACTATTATATTCCCAAAAGAAAAAAAAATATATAATATAAGAAACTAAATGAATTTATTTGAACTATTGAAAATCATTGTTTTGTGGAATTTCAGACAGACGAAGATACAAACAATTTACAATGCTTTTTTTTCTTCCTTTCTTTCGTTTATCCATTTATCCAAACATTAGCTCATTTGATTAATTATTTATTTCCTCTCTCCCTCTATCCATCCTTTCTTCATTTCTACTCTCATCCACCATCTCATCTATCCATTATTCCATATATTTTACAGTCCGAAATGGGACCTTTCCGGAGAGCCAAACATAACTACTGACCAATCAGAGCAGGGCCATGAATACGCGTGTGTCACGTGTTGTTATCCCACAAACGAATGTTTTTTTGCGTACGTTTTACACTGGCTATGTTCACACACGGCAGCTAACGGTTAGCATGCAGATAAATACCGTAACATACGCGCTCATCCTTCCTCTGGTTTTGTTGCGCCATAGCAACATGGAAGGGGCGCAGCTTTGCTGGAATGTTCATTGTCTACGTAGATATGACTACTTTTAATCAGTATAAGCTATAGGCCTATTTACAAATAAATGAACGTGTAGAAGTTCAATTTACTATTTACCTACCTCTTACTATCAGCTGCATAAAAGCGTGTTTTCCTTCATTCCGGCTGCCATTTAAATAACATTCGTAAATCCCAGAATCATTCAATGTAGTAATTTCGAATAAAATCTCCGTCAGCCCATCCCATTCTTCGTTATATTCTCCATTCTTCGCCCATCGTAAGCTTTCATTACTTCCACTAGATTGATTTACGCTCAATGTAACGTTACTATCACATACACTAACGGTCTTGGTGCGAACAATTGGTATTACAGGGGCTTTGAAAACAAAAATCAATTTTTGTTACGTGGTGGGTTTCAAATACTAGCTGTAAATTGGTTATAAAAATTTGATAATTATGTAATAATTACTAATTAACCGCTTAAAGCTAGGCTTAACCACAAGAAGTAGCCAATATTGAGAAGAAACCCCCTCTTTGTGTGTAAAATAAATAATCTCGTAAAAGCCCATCTCGAAAAGAAGGCCAAAAAATAGGATGGACTTCTTTCCAGGATTGTTTTTAATAGATAATATTACTCTTACAAACTAAAAAATGGGCTTCTTTTTACAATGAAGAGCGGAACGTTAATAAGCATCTCAAGCTCTAATTAAAAAAATATTTTCATACATCTTGTCTATTTTTAAAATTCCTATTTATTTTCTGTAGCTTATGCCTAGTAGTCTTGAGCCATGCATGTGGCGATTTATTTTTTATGAATGCTTTGTACGTGGCTTATTTTTATTGTTTAATTCTGTTTCTTTGACATTCATTTAAAATCAAATGTTATCCAGTGTACTATAACAAAAGGAAAATAAGCCCACTTAATTGTCCTAAATAAAAGAAGGACATTATGTGGTTTTACATTAGGCCTAGTTTAATACAAGTAAACATTGTTGTGGTATTTACTATTGGGGCAATACAAATTGGCTGTCGCCGACGTCGAAGTTCAAGGGTTTCTGTGAAAGTAAACTTACCCTACAATATTGTGTATTCATTCGTTTTAATCATTCATTTTTATTTTAAAGGAAAAGTACTCCAAATTTTACTGTTCCAGGTACCGATAATATTCAGATTTCTCTTATTATAAAGTACAAGTTATGTTTTATAAAGAAGTATAGTATAGTAAATCTGGTTTTTAACACAGGATATTCTCATATGCTAACTAAAACAATGCTATTCCAGAGTATTACTAGTACTACTGCAAATTAAAATTTTGTATAGACTTAATTTATGTTTATTGATTTTTATGCAAGTTAGGATTGTTATTATGTTATTGTCAGTTTCTTTTTATGTACCTATCATGCTCACTTGTGTTTTTTTTTTCTATTTGCAGCAGACTTAAATTTATGAAAGGGAAAATGAAAGGATGGATTCAGTGCGTGAACTCTTGAGTGTTCCCCAGCACTGACAGAATACCACAAACTCGCCAAAATAACATTGTTAAATGTGTATTTGATGACATTTCGTGTATGTTGGACTAAAAACATTTTTTTTTTGTTCACAGTAATCATTGAACATATAGCTTGCTATCAGTCAATCATGTCCTAAATGTATAGTTCTGGGAATCGTTAACAAACAATTATTTAACATCATTTTGTAGTTAATTCCAGTAAACAATGTAATCACAAATAACTTAAAGCTGTTTTACTTGAAATCAAGTTTATCTACTTTCACTCACTAGACATTTAAATATATAGGACTTTCTACACTATTATTTTCTGAAGTTTCATTTCCTTCAAAATTTTGTTTAAGATGTATGGTTTTTTTTTGTGTGTGTGTGTTTAATTAGAAATTTTTAATTTCATGTTGAGTATCTGGGTTGCCCTCCATCGACAATAATTATTAGGAAAAAGTTAACTATAAGTATGAAATATCCTAGTGAAATGTTAATAACTTCCTAATACATGCAGGGTTTATCGACGATTTTTTTTTTTTAGGTGGGTCGTGATCAGAATTTTTTGGACCTTTTCACAATGAAATAACAGCAAGATGTGATTAAAATATCAATACAATTTGCTTGAAGCAGATGGCAGGCTCAGTTTCAAAATTTATGGAATTGAGAAGGCTCAGTTTCAAAATTTATGGAATTGAGATAGATTACAGTATGTCGCACAATTGGCAAAGTTTTTGGACTCATTGCTGGTACCTCATCAATGATTTTTTATTTATGTCATTGTGAAAAGCCCCTAGAAACATTTTTTTGGGGGTCGTACGACCTTCCCAACGCCCCTTACACCCATAACATGAAAATATTGCAAGAAGTGATTTAATCAGTCAATTTAATGGGAGCTACAAACCACCACTACAGTATTTTTTTTTTCTAATTACATCATATGCTATATATTGGGTAATTCCAAGGTAACTGACGTTACATTTCATCCTTTATTATATTCACATAGTTACCCACTTTATATTAAAACCATAGAAAAATGTTACAATTGATGGTGCTAACCACAAAAACCGATAATTTAAAAAAATATCGGAAAAAAAATATGTTTAAGAAACATACAAAACATGACTTGTATGCCATGAAATACTGTATTATTATATTAGAAGTACAGTTAATTATTACAAATTTGTTAAATTGTTTGTAAAATAGTATTGACACTGGTGACTGGTTTTTTTTCTTTTGTAGTTAAATTAACCATAATAATTATGCTATTTTGTGTTTGTCACAATACATTGAATTAATTCAGGTTAAATAATAACCTCCTAATTAGTTGTATACATAAAAATTATATTTAGTGTGTGTGTACTTTAATCAAACAATCGTGAGTACCCAGTGCTACAAACAACCAACTACTGTACGATATATTTTATGTGCTATTTTGCATTTGTCTCAATATAATTATTGAGATTAGCTAAATAATAATCTCCTAATGAACTAATAATAACCTCCTAAATTGTATACATACAATTATATTTAATGATTGTGATTAAAATCAACCTATTACGGGTACTCTGTGCTACAACCAACCAATGATAGTGTTATTCTTTGTTTGTCGGAATATATTGCGATCATAAAAAGCCTGAGGAATATATATATAATTTACACAATATAATTTATTGTGTTCTACTGTCTAACTCAACGTTTTTACAGTTTGGAATATTTTATATAGGCTATATGTTTGTAGAACTGATTTTTTTAGCACACAAAAAAAGTTTTTAAGAGATACAGGCTTTGGAATATTTTAATATAAGGAGGCATAACCACCCTATATTCTACCTTTCCACCAGTACAGGTACACTTTGCTTCAAGTTAAATGATAATCTCATAATGAATTTTTAATAATGTCCTAATTTCATAGGCCAACTATTGGCATTTGGCTTTAAAGTTAAATAATGGTATCCTAATGAAATTTTATTTCTAATTAGCTGTATACACATAAAAAATGTTTTTTAGTGATTGTAATTTAATCTGCCAAGTACAGGTACTTAATGCTACAAACAACCCAATACAATAATATTGTAATTATGTGTATACAATTTAATTATTTAATAGTGCAGCAAGAATGCCTTTTTAGCTGTATATACATAAAAAAAAAAGTTTTTTAGTGATTGTAATTTAATCAGCCAAATAATGTAAAGGCACTTGGCTTTAAAGTTAAAAAATAATATCACAATGATTTTTTAATAATGTCCTAATTAGCTGTATATACACAAAAATGTTTTAGTGATTGTAATTTCATCAGCCAATAGGCACTTGACTTTGAAGTTAAATTATGATATCCTAATGAAATTTTAACAATCTCCTAATTACTGTAGCTGTATGTACATAATAAATGTGTTTTTAGTGATTGTAATTTAATCAGCCAAGTGTAGGTACACTTGGCTTCAAGTTAAATAATAATCTCATAATGAATTTTTAATAATGTCCTAATTATCTGTATATACATAAAAAATGTTTTTTAGTGATTGTAATTTAATCGGCAAAATACTGTATAGGCACTTTAAAGTTGAATAATAATATCACAATGATTTTTTAATAGTATAATAATATTTTCTCGATTTATATATATTTTAATGTCCTAATTAGCTGTATATACATAAGATATTTTTAGTGATTGTTATTTCGTAGGCCAAATATTGGCATTTGGCTTTAAAGTTAAATAATGATATCCTAATGAAATTTTATAATCTTCTAATTAGCTGTATACACATAAAAAATGTTTTTTAGTGATTGCAATTTAATCTGCCAAGTACAGGTACTAAATGCTACAAACAACCCAGTTCAATAATATTGTAATTATGTGTATACAATTTAATTATTTAATAGTGCAGCAAGAATGCCTTATATTTTTTATTTATTTTTTTTATGTTGGTTTCCAGCATATCATATGTATTCATTCCAGCATTTGTATTCATGATTGACAATGTATTGTATGTTTCAGTTACAGTATATGTAAATAGTTTATTGTGTAAAGTTTAAATAATAATAGAAATTTAGAACCTGAAACTTGTTGCTTTGTTTGTACATGGCGTCTCTAAACAATAAGTTCCAGAAAGGCTGCATGGATTGCAGTATGTTTTTCTTTAATGTTTGTTTACATGTTTTTAATCATAATTTCCAATTGCTTAAATTGCATGTATTAAATCAACTGTATTGAGAAAAAGGTTTTTTTTTTTTAAGCCAATCAAAGCCCAAAGTATTATCACCATTTTCATGGGTTAACTACCCTTTTAATGTATTGATATATTAATAGTGTGATCTTCCACATTTTTACCATTAAAATTTGTACAGTACCGAAAGCAAACTTTTTAACGTCTAAATTAAGTAATTAATAGGCAAAGACCTGTTGAATTATGCGACTCTTTGGATTGATAGCTAACAATCATAGGTTTTTAGAGTTAAGCATAACGCATTACACATGCGCTACATAGCGAGACAAGCTAGCGCAGCAGAATAGCGAAATGATGGAATTTTTAATCACCTTCTAAACTTTTTTTTTTGCACAAAATCTGCATGCATACAGCATGGATTTAAATTTACTCCTCGATGTTCATTTTTTTAATTGGACATGCTTACTACAAAAGTAGTGGCGCTGCTTGGAAGGAAGGGGGTGGGGGATGGGATACGGAGCTACATTCTCAACCCCTCCCCCTTAATGGGAAAAAAACCACAAGGGAGATTTACCCGACCGAGACAAATTATGTTAATAGATTCTAAAATCGATTAAATAAGCCTTTGAAACCCCTAAATTGTAATATTTTTGGAGGGGAAGAGCTGTTTCCCCTGGACCACTTTAGTGGCGACTGACCACGCCCACGTTCTTCTCGTCGGGGACATCACACCCCCCCCCCCTCCATCGGGGAAATACTGGTTTCCGT